CGGCGGAAGGCCGCACGCCGCAGCGTAGCGGGTGCAGGTTGGCTACAGGCCGCACGTCTTGGTTTGACTCTGGGTTTGCTGTTCCTTTGTGGTGTTCTGTGCCGTAATGCAATCGTAAAGAAGGGGTAGTTTGGGAGGGCAGGAGCTGTGCTACGGCTGGGCAGAGAGGGGGGTGGGAAATCACACGTGAACAGGGTTTTTTTGTGCAAATAAAATGAGCTGCGTTTCTCCGGTGGTGATTTGGGTGGTGGCTTGATGGAGTTCACTTATATATACTAATTGCTGCAGGTGTGTGAGAGCTCAAAGGTTTTCGGAGGTAATTTAACCACGTTAAAAATAAAGACCACACCACTCACAGCCACATACTTCTTTATAGATTAATATTTACAACTTGGTTCAGATGTTAACTGTCGATTTTGGTAGTATCCGACATACACATCTGAAAAATTCTCAGCTGGGGAGTTCAACGCTTATGAACATATGAAAAGGAAGAAAATTGCTGAGAATGGTGACTGCTCTGTGTCCTGTTGGAGGCTGCCAAGTGTGAGCCATGTTACCAGATGTGCCATTGGTGTAAAGAAGCTCGAGAGCATCCTTTGTGTCAGTGGTGTTACATGTATGGTTTTATGCAGTGTCTCTCTTGGAAGCTGTTCAAATCTGGAATCACGTTTGGTGCACTTTTTTCATTGACCTCTCGATTCAGCAGGTAGACAAACATGGGTGCCTACAAGTACATCCAGGAGCTATGGAGGAAAAAGCAGTCAGATGTGATGCGATTCCTCCTCCGTGTCCGCTGTTGGCAGTATCGCCAGCTGTCTGCCTTGCACCGAGCTCCCCGGCCCACCAGACCAGACAAAGCTCGCAGGCTGGGATATAAGGCCAAGCAAGGTAATGAGACGTAGAGGTGAACCCCATGTGCTTTGTGATGGAGTTTTATGTTTTTATGTCCGCTTCCTTCCTTCCCTGAGTGATAGTAGAATAACAAAATCTGAAACTTAAATATTCCACAAGAACCTGAAGTGTCCTGCATGAAATGAACTTAGTATTATAAATGTGTTAAATCTGTAGCAATGCCCCCAGCCCAAAACCAAACTTCATGTAGTTTTGAATTCATGCCTTCTATCGCCATCTTGGCAATGGAGATCGAGTGGGCTTTGGCTTTAATTCTCACTCTTGTGCTGTGTTACTACTGCAGAGTTGACCGGTGCTTTTAGTATCCTGGGTTTGGGGGTTGTCCTTTTTCTGCCCAGATTTTATCATGCGTTACTTTGACTGTATTACTGCTGTATGCGCTTGAGTAAGCAAGATGACGTAGTTTGTGCTGTCATTAGAAAACAGTTACTGGTCAGTGAAAGAAACTTGGGGAAAGTGGCCATCCATCTGCAACTTGAGCAAATCCTTGAAACAATATGTTTGTTCACTATGAAAATACAAAGCTAAGAGTCTATGCTTCTGTTACTGTTTGTGAAGCTTGTCTGGTTTCCTCATTTTTCAGTGATCGGATTTCAGCAGAGTTTGTGAATGGCTTGTGCTTTGGCGCTTTATGAATGCTACTATCAGAATCTGGGATTTTAGTTTTGGGGTGGTTGTTTTATTGGGTGTTTCGGGGTGGGAGTTTTTTGTGTTACAACGTAGCAGTAGCTGTTCTTAGTGTATTTGGAACTGGGTAGTGGAAAGGTGCCATAAACTCTGGTTTGGAAGTAAAAAACAGTCTTGACAGGACATTGCTTTCCTTACTGAGTTGTAATGGAAGTAACAAAAACATCTTGTGCTAGCCACCTCCATTTGTAGGTTTTGGTGAATGTTGGTATAGTGACCTAATTTTCGTGTGAAGCTTTTGGGGTTGGAAATGGAGTATGGGCATGAAAATTGCCTTGCTGTGATTTGCACTTGCTACCCTACAGAATTCTTCTAGTTCCTAAGTCACCATTTCTTTTAGGTTACGTTATCTACCGTGTCCGTGTTCGCCGTGGTGGTCGTAAACGCCCAGTCCCGAAAGGTGCAACCTATGGTAAACCTGTGCATCATGGTGTTAACCAGCTGAAGTTTGCCCGGAGTCTTCAGTCTGTAGCAGAGGTGACTATTTTGGTTATTGCTCAGAAACTTGGCGGTAGGAAGGTCTTTCTTAGTCTGTAAAACTTGAAAATACTCGGAGACAAAAAAGCCCCAAACAACTGTTTTGTTAATGTGTTGGGTAAAAGATCTCGAATACTGATGGCAGGAAAGCACCAGAATGTCTTGAAAAGCTGTACTGAGACAAATGAAAAAACTATTCAGATTTTACAAATGGGGTCTGGGGAAAGTACTGGTTAGGTGGTTTATTGACGTTCATAGTGTATACTTCTTTCTAAAGTATGCCACGATATTTGTAATGAAAAATAGACATACAACCAGTATAAACCCCAGTAAAATAAAGGCTTAGGCATGAGAAATAAAAATTAAATATGCTAAGGTGTCTGACTTCATTCATCACTAAATCCCACCTCTGTGTTCCCTGCCATGGTGTATGTATTACCAGCTTTAGGTAATGGTCCTTTCACAAAGTACAGATGAGTTCCTGTCTTAACTATAGCACGTGTTTGTGTAGTAGGAGTGCCACACAGTGTGCTTAGCTGGATCATAGGATCTGAAAGCAGTGTGCCAGAGACCTTCTGGTTCTTTATAAAAAAATTTGGTACCTCACAAGCACAAAGATTGGTGGTTAACTTGTTTTTAGGTGAGATGTTGTTACCTGCTGAAATACTCAAAAGGGAAACTTTCATTTGATGAGTTTCATAATGTCACAGTAGTAGAGTTGAAGAGATGTAGTTCTTACCTTTAGAAAAAACTCTTTCAGTGGGTTAGAATTAATACTAGTCTGCACTCTCAAAAAAGAGAGATTGTGAAAGAATGGAGACTGTTCATTGCCTTTCCATCTTGAAGCAGAAGACTTTTCTGTTCCCAGGACTTCAAAAATATTCGTAAGTGACTTCAGCAAGTTGAATATGGCGGGGGGTTTTTTAAAGGGAAAAAAAATGTAAATGGGACATGCTAATTAAAAAGCAACACAGATGATGAGTTTAAATTTAAAATGCAGTTCTGTGTTCTCAGTGCTCATAGTATGCTCTTCGTATATGCTATTACCAGATATCTGGTATGGATGGCTAATCACATGCTCACTTGCAACAGCTCATGGAAGAGGTTATTGGCCCTCAGTTTTAGTTCAAAATTTTCTGAATCTGACATGCTTTTTCCTGGAAGACTTACATTTTTCAGATAGAAATGTTACAGAAATATCAAACCTCCATTGTAGCTACCATCCCCACATAGAAGCTGGTTGAGGGTGGTTGGTGTTTTAATGTTTAATGTATGTATTGCTCTCACATGCTAGAATAAAACAAGGACTTGAAAGAATTTTGTTACATCTGCAGAAAAAAGTCAAGTGTGGTTTAGTGGAAGACTGTAGTAATAGGTTGGGATTGCATTGGGATAGAAGATGGGTGGGCTCCCACAGAGCCCACAGAAGATGGGTTCATACTTTCCCACAGTGATGATTAAGTCCTAGGATTAAACACACTATTAGTGTTTTAAATAGGGAGCATTCTTGCAGGAGAGGCAGATGGAGTTGCATAATTGATATTTTCTGCTTTGTTTTGTTTTCTAAACTAAGACTGCTTCTTTCCAACCACAAGTGAGGATAGGAATAGCAAGCACTAATATACCAGCAGTGGAACAAAGACTTGTTACATCAGCTGTTTCTTTTCTCCTATCACTATGGGCTTATTCTCTGCAGAAATATCTTTCTCCCCTGTAGCTTTGGATGTGCAAATTGATCAGTCTTTCATAACTTCCCACAAAAGATTGTTCCGTGGCCCCAAGTGGAGCTTGTGCTCTTCATCTTCACGTTAAAGTTGTTTTTAACTCTGTGTATTTACTTATTGGGTGCTTCCGTGTACAAAGCAGTTCATTCTTTTGTCAACCAAGCACCTTCCTCCTTATGTTCTTTAAAACCCGTTTCATGTAGGAATCCAAGCAACCTTTTTTTTTTAATACAGCATTCCTTTCAGCTATTACTTTTTCTTTTGTCTTTGCAACTGGAAGGGGAGCAGTTCTTTTAGGAAGAGAGGGTCTCTCGGGGCAAATTGAAATCTCTAGCACCTACAAAATTTTAGGTTTGAGTTATTCATACCTTTCTGCATGAAGAGTGCCCTGCATCCATGATTTTACAGCCTTTTGCTTTTTTTTTCTCCTGTAGGAACGTGCTGGCCGTCACTGCGGGGCTCTGAGAGTCTTGAACTCGTATTGGGTGGGTGAAGATTCCACTTACAAGTTTTTCGAAGTGATCCTGATTGATCCCTTCCATAAGACCATCAGGCGCAACCCTGATACCCAATGGATCACCAAGCCCGTTCACAAGCACAGAGAGATGCGTGGGCTGACATCGGCCGGGCGGAAGAGTCGTGGTCTTGGCAAGGGCCACAAATTCCACCACACCATTGGTGGCTCACGTCGTGCTGCCTGGAGAAGACGCAATACCCTGCAGCTGCACCGTTACCGTTAATTCCTGTAAATGTAACGATCTAATAAAGCTGATGCGGGTTGTTGAATTTAACAAGTGCTTCTGCTGCTTCTTGGTTTATGTGGAGAAGTGTAGAATTCTCCAGGAGTTCAGTTGTTTCCATATTTTGAAAGGATTTTTAAAATGTAATTTGGTATTTGTGAAGATTGTTGGCCCCGAGCATAGAGTTCTGTGATGGGTTTCACTTTTGATAAGACTGAAAAGACGTGTGCAGTGTGAATTGAAAGCTTAATGGCTAGTCCATGTTCTTTTTTCTGTTGGTCTGAGTATACTTCACTGTCTGTAGGTCGGGGTCTCTGTCCTGTGCTTAGACGGAAGGCCAGCTTTGATCTTGTGCAATGAGATGTAAACTGAAAGTGCTAGTTTATTTTTTATAGGTGATTAAATACTAATGGCAATTTTATTTTTCAAGTTCTGTTTTTTTGTATGTCTTCAGTGTGAAACTAGCTCTTGAGCCTGTGTTATTTGAAAATGTAGGCTAAATCGACTAAGCACAGAATAAAAAGGTAAGGCTTCCTCTGTTCATTAAAGTGTACAGTATTTTAAATACGGACACTTCACAAAGAACTATGCGATGCTTTAGGTTGACTAATAAAATAGTGACTGTAGAGTAGGTATTACTTCATTTGTGCAAGATTCCAGGCTGTTCATTTTGCATTTTGCAGTGGAGACAGTGTTTCTTAGATCTGCCTTTTGATACCAGAACAGAGAACATTTCTCTAGTGTTAAAGAGCTGCATTCTGATTTACTCTGCATCGTTAGGTGGTAGAAATAATCACATGTGGATGACAACAGTTATAATCACAGATGAATGTATTTTAGGCTATGTTTTGTAAAATTACAGTGTGATCTTTCAGCATGAAGTCAACTCTCACATAAATGCTGAGAGGGGAATAACTGCAATTTCTGGTAAACTAGCTGCACGGTTGTCCTAGCTTCCATAGATTTTGTACCACGTCCATTGGGTAGTGATAGGAAAAGGGATCAATAGAAGGCCCAAGAAGTAGCTGCATCTTCCTAGAGCTTCAGCTTGGGGTGTGGAAAGGGTTTTAAACAACAGAAAACTAATGCCGAGACTGAAATGCCCAAGATTTGCCCTTCAACTGAAATTAACTTTCTTTTCTCTTTAAGTTCTTATAGGAGGAGTGTCTGAAGTCTGAAGAAGAGACTCTTCTGGCAGCATGTTCTTAAAGTCAGGGAGAACAGCTGGAGAGGCCAATCCTTCCATGCCATGTTTTGTTCGGCTCAAAGAAACAAAAAAATTAAAAAGCGTTCTTTTGTAGCTATGTTAAAAAATGCTACCTGCTCCTCTAAAGAAGGAAGATTTTTTTTTTTTTAACCTTTCCTGTGTGGGAGGAACTAGTATGAGGAAGAGGAGGATTCTTGAAAGCAGCTCCTGTGATGGTGTGGGACAGGAAATGGAAGTTCCTAAGAGCAGACTCCCAGGAGTCTGATGATACTGTACTAGAGCTTGTTAAGTTGTTCAGGACCCTTGCTTTGATGGGGGAAGGTGCCTGGGCGGTCAGCACTAACGCTGTGTCTCTTGCCAGGGTTCAAAATTTCCAGCGCATGGGGGATGTCTTCAGTGAGACTTGTCTGAGGTTTCCCCTCATTGCCCTCATTTCCTGTAGCTTTTTGAACTTCAAAATAGGGGGGAAATGCTATCCCCTCCAAAGTTTGTTGAAATCTACTGATGAAAGTGTATGTAAGAGGGTATGGTACTGATCAGACTAGCTAAGGAATTTGAAACAGATGGTACTGTCTTCAGCGGGAGCTCTGGGTACGTACAGCTTATCCCAAGTCATCAGGAAATCGGATCGCCTTAGCATCTTCTCACAGTGGAAGTGTCTTATGCTCTGTTAAACTGTTTTGGGTTGGAAAGAGGGGAAATTGCAGAGTAGTATTTGTGTGAAGAGGAAAGGCAAATTATCTTTGTTAAAATCCGTGTTTCAAAAAGGCAAAACATAGAGGAAAAACTTTTTTGTTTGGGGTTGTTAGCCTGGGAAACCAGGCTTAGAGAGAGGTTATGTGATCTCTGCCTTTCCTACTTGATTTTTGAACCTGTTGTGCAAGTTGAACAGAGATTGCAAGTCTATGTTCCTTACGAGTTTGGTGAAAATCAGTCATCTGAGACAGTAGCCCTAGTGAGAGGCGGTTACTTGAGTTCAACCCTCCTTATACACCAAGAGTCTGCCTGAAACACAGATACTAAGCTGTGGCTGAGGGGGGTGGGGGAAGGGAAGAGGAAGCATCAGGAATTCCACTGGTGAAATTTGTTAAGACACGGAGGAATCCAATAATTGGTTTCCAAGCCATTTACTTCGCTCCGCTTGCAGGACTGCTTATTTCTCAGTCTGAACAGGCATGTTTTAGACATAATTGAAAGAGCTGTCTGGTTTCTAGGCAAGACAAAATGAGTACCACAGTTAAACTGCAGAGAAACGGGGCTGTACAGTACCAGCCTGTTTCAGCCTAATATCAGGTACTGTTGAAAATAGTTGACTGTAAGCTTTTATTAGGCTGGATTTCACTTTTGTGTAAGCAGCCTAGATTAACTAATTGCTTAGCCTTTGGTAGAAGGTGAGGGCCTGGCAAGTAATTCAGCTCCTGTTAGAAACTAATTCTGTCCTCCCGAAGGGTGGGATGTGTAAAAACAGATTGTGTGATTTAGCATGTTCTTTAAATAAGCAAGTAGTAAACTCCCTTCCACGTAGCTAATAGAAGTGATCATTACTTGGCAACACTAGCTAAGCTGAAAAGTACAGACCACGCTAATCAACAGCGAGTGTAATTGTTTCCTTTCATTGTCTCTGAAGCATTGGGAGTCTCTGCAAGGCAGCTGTGTGCTGCTGGGCGAGGGACGCTGGCGTGCTGCCTGCGGTAGGCACAGATGCTGATGGAGGGGGCCGTTGGCTCTTCCTTGCGGCAGAAGGTCATTGAATGTCACTGGTGATTTTGTGGGGGTCTTAGAATGAAGTAATTAGCAATGGAGGAGAATAATAGCTGGACTTGCTCACTTATCTCTGTCCTTGTAATGCAGCAGTTGTTCACTAGCCTTGACCCAGTGAGAAAAGCGACTGCATGTGAACAGTCCCGTCCAGCTAACGAATTAAAATGCTAGACTCTAAAAACAGATCCTGATTCCTATGCTTTTATCTACTCACTCTCCAAGATGGGGAAAAGACACTATCTTTTTTGCCCTTGTACAGTTCTTTTCTTTTGCAGCATGCACAGGTCTATTTTTGAAGGTATCAAGCCGAAATACCCAGAGTGATGGAAATGGGGCTTCAGCCACAAAAAAAGGGAATTTGGATTTGAATTGGACACTTTTCTGGGGCTTCGAGCGAGCACCGGCTCTTTGATCCAATCCTTTTCGAGTAATTGGTTGAAATGTAAAGCTGTATAAAAGGATGGAGAGCCTGTGGGTTGTTCTTCTCTTCATGTGTCAAGGTTCTGAATCAGCCTCAATTTAATAATTACATGCAGGGTGTTTAGGTTGCAAAGTCTAGCTCCCTAAAGTTCGGAACTGCCTGAGCTACGCTGCTTACGCAACGTTTAATTCGGTGGCTATCCTGCTCTTACCTAACGTGCCAGAAGAGGCAGGGGCTGGAACCCAGTTCTTCTGGGCCCCTTGTCACTGTCTGAAATTTAAGAGAGCATGCTTTTCTTCAGTATCAAATGATGTTCAATGACATCCTATAATTAAAGGCTCTTATGTAATGAAGATGACATTTAATCTCATTAAATACTGTCAACTCTCCATCATTCAGGGAAACGGAGAGCTGGGGTATCCTGGAGATCAGGGAGCTCAGTGGGAGCAGATGAGTGATTAAATTAAGCCTGGCTCTGTTCAGATCAAGGCTGGCTGAGAGCGCTCTCTCAGATGGAAGGAAGCCCCTTCTGAGCCTGCTCTGGTTTCCCTGCATTGCCTTCCTGGTACCAGGCTTTAGAGAAAAACCCTTGCTAGTTTATATGCTGGACTGGAGCTGGCTCCTTAGGGGTTATGCGGTCTGTACCTTGTCACGGAAGGGCTGCAGAGGCATACCTTGGACCCAAGCTGAATGTCCACGTGCAAGCCGGGAAGTTCCCTTGGAAACACAACAATCAAGAGGTACATTGGAGGAAAAAGAGAAAAGGAGGAGGCAGAAGAAGAGGACAAGTCAGCTGGCTTCCAGCTGGGCTTGTTAGTACCCCAGTGCTGCCCGGTGACAGGTTAACGCATTGCAGAGGTGGCTGTGGCTAGCCAGGGTCCAGCAGGGTTCATCAGCCAAGTTTGCACGATGCAGCCCCCGGGGTATAAACCTGGCTGGACCCAAGTCTCAGCACAGAACTCGCTCAGGGTGCCTGTGTCTCTGGTGTTAATCTGCAACCCCGACAGAGACGGCAGCGGCTGCGCTTCACCAAACCCAGAGCAGAAGGACGGTTCTTGGTTGGTGCTGAGAACCGTAGGCTGTGAAAGGCACTACGTCCAGCGCTGGAGCCCTCCATCTTCCAGGCCTCGTCCCCAGGCTGTGTGTCAATAGCCAGAACAGCAGGCAGACACCAAGATCCTATCACACTCTGCCTTGTGTTCACACGTGTAACGAAAATGAGTCGCCATCCCCAGAGAGCTCATACGCCAAGTGGAGGAAGTAGCTCATTAGTCCGGTGTACGCTCATTCATTTATTCATACATTTTTCTTCCAGCATTGTTTTTCTGTGACTAACAAGCAATTATTTGAACCCTTTCCTTATATGAGAATCGCGGCCCTTCAACTCATCTGCTGTTACAGTCCACCTGCCTCTCTCACGGGTTTCGTGATTAGTCAGATGAGTTTAGATAGCAAGTTACGCAACCTTTATAAATAATGTGTTTTGAGCTTTGTGTTTTCAGTTCATTCAGAGCTATATATAAAAATGATGTCTTATAAGTTGCTGTGTTGTTTGCAACCATTTGGAAAGCAGTTTTGTCAATGCACGGTTAAACGAAGTCATAGTAAAGCTTTTAGGTAAATGGAAAATTTCATATCATTTTCACTTTGTTTATGACTTATTGCTACAGGTGTTGACGGAGAACAACCGCTTACAATCTTTTTACAGAAAAAGACACAAAGATTCAGCTACACAATAAAAATCAAGGACAGATATAAACCAGTTAATATTTGTAAATTTGGGAAGAGGTGGAAATAAAAGGAACTTCCTTGATTTTTTTTATAGAATTGTACATTATTTATACAAAATACGTGATTCAATTGATTCTATGGAATCTGGAGAATCTAGTTCCCAATCTGAAGGTAGGTAGTTTTATTTCTGACAGGTGCCTGGTTGTCCATACATAACAGATACAGACTAAAAACCCATACAAA